TAGAGTAGAGGACATTTCGTGTCGTATTACATGATGTAAAACTAGGGCTAGGACCTCGTGGTCAAAAAAGAGTAAAGTTTGAGTAAACACGGTCGAGACTATTACGACGACTCTTGCCTTGATTTATTACACTATATTCCTTCTTGAAGAACGGAACACTGAAGGTGCAACCTCAAGGTAGAGCTTTGTTATTATAGATCTAGAGTAAAAGGGTTTCGAAGTCCGTCGGACCCTTTGTTATACATTTTTGTTCACTTGAAGGTGCACAACGCTATGCCGTGATCATACCTATCATTTTGATCTTATAGACCATAGAAACGTCGCATTAATTTATTCCGTTACAATTTGTGAACAAGAAACAAAGTATTGTGCACCGTCAGAGAGCTTTGAACATAAACTGTAGCACTGTCGTTTTTATCTTTGATGTTTGTTGCCTTTCATTATTGGTCTCCTCTACTAAATGTCTATGGGTAGAGTGAAGTTAAAGTTTTAAAACTATTTTTATGCGTCTGGATACTTGCCAATCATTTGTTAGACTCTGATCTATTGTCATCGTTTTTCGAATTTTGTTCACTCGCTGCTTAGCATGCTTTCGAAACTCACCTCCAGTCCGATCCCAATCGCCCTTATACATGCCAATCATTTGGTATCCATGACTACACCATGACCCTTTTGGTTTGTTGGGGTACGCCCCGCAGTCCAAAGCATATTGCACGGGCGCAAAAATCATCTTTCCTTCAATACAATGCTATACAGAAAACCAAGATAGTCAATAACCTTAATACCCACCCACCTCTCCCCTGACCCAATGTCAACATTAACATCTCACTCGAGGCAAAATGCTCGGGTAGGGGAGGGGTATGTAAAGAACCAGAAGTAAGAACGTTATCGGAGTCAAGTGAAGACATAAGAAAAAAATTTGCAGGGATGGGTTCATACTGCTAGGATCCAAAATGCCGCGTACGCGGTATGTTTGGTCATAAAGAATAAAGGATAGTATAATTTCGAGTTCACTTTCGCTACCCTGATCCATGAGAAAAATGAAATAAGGGGGTACAGAAATCCCATTCCATCTCTCTATGCAGTCCCTTCGCTGCTTTACTTGCCGATGGCCTGAGAATGCGGGACCAGATACAGGCTAGACTTGGTCGCACGGTGAAAACGATAGAGTAATGCGCTTGGCGCGGACTGGGAACAAAAAAAAAATACAAGTCCCACGAGGATCAGGGCACTGGTCAATTGGATCTTAATATTTACGAGCTTCATTCCTGTTGGTGCAGCTAATAAGGGATTTCTGTGTCAAGAAACTGAAAGTAGGCATAGCTCCTCTCGACGCAGTTGAAGAAAAAGTGGAGAGCTCCGGGCACATAAAAAATGGAAGTTGCTAGATCACATCGACTACTTTAGAGCGTATTCACATGACGTTTCGGCGGCCATATTGGTGTTTCAAAACAATGAAACGGCGGCCATGTTGGTGTACCGAAGACAACCCAGTGGGAATTGAACTCTTTTCTTATGTATAAACTTTCTTTTGTTCGTATTATTTAGAGTGGATGCTGGCCACGTGAGTGAATACGCTCTATTGGAAACAAGGTTTTACTACGGGTGTTCATTGCGGGCTCAAAATTTTGTTTCAATCGATTTTATTAAGTATGTTCCAAAGGCGGAATAGCCCACGTTCGATATATTAAAATTCTGGTCATTTTCTCTATTTGGTTTTGTTTTCTTTACGCTCCTGGAAATTGTGAGACAATGGAGTCGTGAAAGAATTTGCAATTTTGTCCCGAAAGACTCGGAGTAATGTTAGAAAATTAATATATTAAACGTGGGCTATCAATATAGGTGCGAAAAATTCAATGTCGACCGTTTTAAATTCGAGCCTGAGAGTGGGTCCGTGTTGAATCAAATTGCACGATGGGACTTTTCCGGGGTACGAATCTCGACCCAGCATCGCGCGAAACTTTGTAATTGAAGAGAAATTAAGGGTCCCCAAAACATTCCCATAGTGCAATTCGACACAACACCGACCCAGTTCTTCTCACAATCTCAATTCATGGATCAAGAGCAATGAGAGCAAATACTAGAAACTTACTTTACGACAGTCTTCAAAAATGGACGCCGGTAAATCCATGTGAATATCAGCCGTGAGGATAATATGTTCTGGGTCTTGAATTTGTCTGATCCCATGATTAATTGCGCGAGTCCAAGAGAAGTCACCTTCTAACTTTTCCACCTTGTACTTCAGTAACGAGGTTGCGCCAAGAATTTCCCGGATGTCTAGCCCTGCGTTACCAGAGTTGACAACCACAAGGTGGAAATATACTTCAAGATTCTCCTTGAAGATTTTTTCCAGTTTTTCAATAAAACGACGAAAACGGGAACCTTCGTGATGTACAGCTAGGATCAAATGGACTACAGCATCTTTGTTCCAATCCAGTCCTCCTGGATAACAGAGCTGGGCATCGGTTGTTAAGACACCGTTCTGTTCGTGATTTTGTAAAAGAACGTACTCTACGACTCTCTCTGTGTAGTCGAGAGCGTCACAACCCAATTCTAGCTCTAGAAAATACAGTACAAAGCTGTCTTCGTCTTCTAAAGGAATGCGTTCAAGGTTGTAAAACCTAACAATTTTGTACTTTCTGGAAAAGAAGGAAAAAAAGGACAAGTGGTAAAGGTGAAATGTAAACCCAACACTGAAGTAACTCTACTGAAGCTGTAGGATCCATGTATTTGATATGAAGAACGCTATAATTTCGTTAATTATGCGCTTAATTCATTATATAAAATATTAAAACAATACACTTACCTTGGAAAAATTTTTCCAAGTCTGGCCATGAAAAGATCAGCTAGCCTCTTTGCTTCTTTATTTTTCGTCCAGTTTCCTTCTTTATCGTTTGTTACTATGGTGACTTCCTTGACTTCTCTGTAAGCATGGAAACGAGCCACTTCCGGTTTTGTTGAGGCCGGAAGTACGAAATTACACGTGGGAAGTATATTTTTTACGATACCTTCTGTGAGAAAAGCCACAAGGTAGAACTTCGTTGTCACAGCCACGGTAGATTGGCTTTCTGCATCACTCGAAACAGCAATTTTGGACACTGGATGCGAGTTAGAAAGATGCGAAATGTATTCTGAGGTTATAACTTCCAAATAGTGTTTTCCAGGTTGAATCCAATGCAATTCCACAAAATCAGCTTCGGTGCCTTGAAGATGAATTATTTCTAATGGATATTTATTTCCCTTTTCAAGGAGAAAATCATCTGTTATNGCAATTCCACAAAATCCGCTTCGGTGCCTTGAAGATGAATTATTTCTAATGGATATTTATTTCCCTTTTCAAGGAGAAAATCATCTGTTATTTGAGAGTCATACCGAATCTCGCCGACTGGCGCGCTGCCAATTCTATCCCGCGATGCAACACTGGCCGCGAGCTTTAAACTTGTCAGACTAACATTGGAACCAAACCAAAACTCCGAGCCATCGTCAGAATACAAGACAAACTTGTAATAACCGGTTTCCTTTGGTTGCAAATAACCAGCTATCCGTTGTCCATAGTTGCTTTCATTCAGCTTTGTTTTCGTTTCCGAGATAAAATGCGACTTTTCTGCAAACCGCGGGAAGAACGGAGAATTGTATAAGTTGGATAATTTGCCACCACAAATATTAGGCCAGACTTCAACAGCTAATTTACCATTATTGTATCGATTAAGATCGTTTTCCTGGGTTGGAGTTGTTTCAAAATCGTTTTGTCTCGTCTTCGACTCCAAGTTGTTGAATAGGCTAAAATCGCTGTCTGTTATACGGCGATAAATCAGCAACAAAGCTAACAATGACAAAACGCTAGAAAGCGTGTCCAAAATCCGGAAAATAACTTTGATTTTCGACCCTCTCATTGAGTCATTCACTCGTCATTTAAAATCGCTCATGAAAGTTATCAAGGAAATTAATGTTTCTTTGGATAATTACCTTCACTATACGCTAGAAGACTGCTAACGAAGACTGTTCAGCAACACTTTCTTTAAAGGCTTTAAGGAATTATAACCTAAACTTTACAATTTTCGATAGGCCCGCAGAAAATATCAAGCTGAAATTCTTTTGAATATCAATCACGAAGCCTCTTTTCGATAATATTGTTTGCTTTGTGTTGCAGTAAAGAGAAAATGCTTATGTTGATATAGTTTACATGGAAACCAAAACTCATTGCGAAGAACTTCAATGTCGCGCAACAATGAAAAACAATCGTATGTCGTTAGCAAACAATCTTTGTAAAAAAGGGAATTTGACCTTAACTCAAAGTGAAAGTTACGCCACCACCACCGCCGAAATAGAGAGAATGGTGAAATGAAGCTAAAAAAAGAAATGAAAAAATGGGAAGCAAACCACAACTTTTAATATGAAGTTTTAATTAGCTATCTGAAAAGTTTTCTTTTCTGGAAATTTATAGGATCGTAATATTTGTTAATTTGTCAAATGAGCTCCTCACTTATTAAAGTATTATTCAGTTGTATTATTTCTTGCCAGAAACTTTAAGAAGCATCCGGCAATAATTAACACTATGAATTATTTCACCGACTTTGCGGTAAATATCTACCATTTTCGACAGACTGTGGGGTGAAAAATTGTTGATTTCTCGCGCCGCCGGGCTGCTCGGAGTTGAATAAAGTGAGTGGTAATTGGCTGATCATCTCAGAGCTAGCCAATCAGCTCCCGAGAAGAGCACTATCCACTTATGTGTGGTATTTACTTAAAACTATTCAACTTTTTTTTTTTCAAGTTCATCAGCGTCCGCAAGCCTTGTTAGCTCAGTGGCAGAGCATTGGTCTCGTAAACCAGGGGTCGGGAGTTCAAACCTCCCACAAGGCTATTACGAAGCTGTTTACGTCCTTTTTTTAAAAAAAAACTAACTGTTTTTCGTTACCATTAGGGTATGTTGACCATTATGCAGCCAAATAATTGTACCCAATATTAAGAAAAAAAACTGTGAGATACGTAAATAGTTTTTCTCCAGTTTCTATTTTTGTTTACGAGTTTCCTCAGGGAGATAAGTTTCGCAAAGGCTCTTGCAATGAAACTGCTCCCCTCTCAATATTCCTCGACTGCAGAAAAGTTGACGAAACTGTTCAATATTTTCTGTACTTTCTATGGTGCACTCAAGATTAACACTCTGAGAATGAGTAAAACGTTTTTTCACTAGGCTTTTTCATGCTATACAATCTTCAATCAACTTGGTGGCTCTCAGACTTACCAGCAAAAAAGTCTTTTATAAATGACTTGTTTTGGCGCCTCAAGGCTTATATTACCGTTTTCTACCTAATTTCCTTAAACAGGTGGCGAGACAGAATATCTTCATGTCTTAAACAGGTACCAGCCAAATGCTGTCATTACTTGAACAATCTCTCCCTGCGAGAGAGCAAGATCACAGAGAAGAGAGTATTTAAATTGCACAGAAACACTGGATCAAATTTTCCTGATTGATCTCCTGAAGCAATCTAAGCGTTAAGATGGAATAGAAATTATTTTCGCATCGATGAAAGTTTGTCCATCGAAGCAGGATTAGACGTTCATCATGGAAAGGAAAAATCTTAGATTTTGTGTGATCACGCGTAAAAACGTTCTAAAGATTTTCGTTTTAAATCTATTTTATATCGCCTTGGTGTCATGTGCCAGTATATTGACACAACGAGAGGATATTTTAGTTCAAAGCGCTACGCCGTTAGAGGTAAATCCTTTAAAAGAATGCGATTCAGGGGAAAGCAACCAGATTAAGTGCATTAATACACCGGTGTGCCAATCGGAAAGCTGCAGAACGATTGCAAAGCTAATACAAGAAGTTAGAAACGAATCGGTGGACCCTTGCGAAAATTTTTACGAATATGCGTGCGGTACGTGGATTAAAAACAACCCCGTACCGTCGGGGCATCTACAGTTCTCCAGGATAACACAATTATCGAAAAATAACGAAAGGATCATGAAAAAAGCGCTGGGAACAATCAAACCCGAAGACACAGAAACCGTCTTGAAGGTGAAAAATTTTTATCAGTCTTGCTTGGATGTAAAGAAAATCGACGAGTTGGGAAATGGACCCTTGCTGGATTATATCAACAGTTTGGGATCATGGTCCCTGTCCAGTAAATGGCATCCAAGGAGATGGGATTTTTACGATGTGTTGGCAAAAGTACAAAGAGATTATCCAGTTGAAGTCTTCTTCAGCGTCAATGTGATTCAGGATCCTGTAAAAAAGAAGGAAGACGACCAGAAGAAGTATATTATACTCGTGAGTATGTTATAGACCTATGTAAAGGAATTCGAATACCCGGATTCCGAAATTTTGGGCTTTGGAATCGTAATACAGCTCAAAGAATCCGGGATCCAACTTAAGATTGGAATCTGGAATCCGAGTTCCACACACAAAGAATCCGAAATCCAGTACCTGGAATCCATAGAATCCAGAATCCAAGACTGTCTTGAATTCCCATACCTGGGGCCTATATTTTATGTAAAAGGCACAATTTTCAAAGCTACTGCTCCCCCCCTCCCTGATTGGCTAACAGCCATGCTTATCTTGTTTTGCTGCGTCTAAGGATTCGCACTGGCTTTGCAGTTAGCTTAGGTTGCTGATCTTCTCTTGATTGTTTGACTGTACATTTCTTTGCACTCACAATAAATGTTTTATCTTCTCATTTAGATCGACCAAGCAAAGTTGAACCTTCCTCAGATTATTTACTTCACTAGCAAAAAGGTAAGCAGACAAGAGGTTAGGTAGACTGCTAGTACAGTCAAATCGCTATTACATGTAAACGACCACTTTTTTGGCAGACAGTCCATACATTGACTCTTGTTTAAGCCTCTCTATAACGGCCCCTTTCTTCTGTCCCCATGGTAGCCGTTGTGGAGAGGTTCAGCTGTAGTCCGTCTCCTTTTCAAGTCTGTCCAGTGAAGAGGCTTGACAGGTCTCTAGAGAGCGATTTTCCTTACGGTGTTGTCTTGTACGATGCATCAGTGCACACATCAAAAGTTTGCTGCATCTCTCCGGCTTAAAAAACAAAAACAACTCACTTCTTTTTCCCCGAGACCATTTACCTATATTTTTGGCCTGATCCAGTCGTTTACTTGGAGTGTGGCGCAAAGTCAGAGAGCGGGGGTTGGGGGGGGGGAGAAGGAGAAAAGGAGGGGAAGGGAGGGAGATAGGAACTTCCTTCGCTTTCTCTCCCTTCCCCACCTCCTCACTGTTTTTTTTATGTCACTAAAATCTCTTTAAGTGACTGGACAGGCTAAATGTTTGGTCGTTTTCTAAGCTAATTGTCGTATTCAATTCCTTTTTTCGTTGCTTTTTCGATCGCTCTTTTAGATTTTAAAGGAAGTGTGGGAGTACATGTCATTAATTACCAGTTTGTCAGGAACAGAAGTAAACGATTCCAAAGATGCAATGAGAGAATTACTTGTCTTTGAAGGAAATCTCGCTTTGGTAAGTATAATTTTTTTCATAACTCTACATTAAAGAGGTTATTTGGGAATGGCCAAAGACCAAAATAAACAGCATCACAGGAAGATAATGCTCAGTGGCTTTCATTTTAATCTTCGACAATCACTCCATAATATTTGATCCCCAGTGTCTCAACTTAATTATGATAAAATTGTGCAATAGTGTTAAATGCAGTGATTAACTTTCATTTACGAATATTTTCACTCTAGGATTTCCTCCACATACTTAAAAGAGTCACTTGAACAGCATGAAATAATACCACGGGAAAGTACTGCTCAGCAGCTTTAATTTGGATGGTCATACTTTAGGATTTCATCTACACACTCGAAAGTTAGAACCACCTTGTAAAGCATAATAAACAGTACCACAGGAAAGTACTGCTCAGTAGCTTTCACTTGCATGGTCACACTATAGGATTTCATCTACACACTCAAAAGTTAGAACCACCTTGTAAAGCATAATAATCAGTACCACAGCAGAAAAATATTTTAAAATGTATTAGTTGTTGCTTTTTTTTAACAGTTTTTGGTCTAACACCTTACTATTTTATGTACCATTTTTAACCAAAAAGGTACCCCTTTCCTATTCCTTCCATTGACAAATGGTACCCTTTTTAGTTACCTAGTTTAGAATATTGCACTCCTTTTAAGTGTCCTAAATGCACTCTCTTTTAAACATGAATTAATCACCAAGCCAGAATACTTTTCTTGACCTTTTCACAACCATAAACTGCATTTGTTAGCCCTTTGGGGCCTTTTAACCGATGAAATGACAGATTTCCTTCTCCTTTTACAAACTACAACTTGTGAAATCCCTAACCTTTCAAATACCTGAAGCCTGAAAAAGGTACCCCTTTTGAGCCGAGTCTCGCCGTATAGGCCATTATAGGGAGTACCCCCCGGAATCTTATTCTCTCATATGTTTTTTTTTTAGTATTGGGTTCCTAAGATTTCCAAGAAGTACGTTCGCATTCCTGTTGGTAAGCTGGCAGAAGCCCTCCCTGAGGTAAGCCTGTCAAATGACTGTCAATTTTGCGCGAGATTTTTTAGACACTTTGGGGGGTGGTGGGGGGGGGAGTTTTGAGAGGTTTTCCCCTTCCCTCAATTTGACGGGGGCCATTCCGTCTGCTTGGTTATCTCGCTATCGTCTTTGAGATGTAGCCCAAAAAGTTTGTGTTAAAACAAGCTTGAACTCATAAGGATTACCATGGCAACTGATATGAGGGTTAACTTCTAAAGGGAGTAAGTTCGTTTTGGTAGATAGATAGATAGTTTATCAAGAAACAATTTCATAGCAGCCAAAAATACAAAAATATAGATACAAAAAGTCTAAACATTAAATATCATTAACATGTCAGATGACTACATATTTAATTCATTAGAAATTTGTCATAAAAGTTTAAAAGGATTA